ATGAGCAGAAAAAACATTTGTCTACCTCCAATCCTTCCCCTCATTGCCACCTCATTGGCAATCACCAAGATGTAGAATCAACCCAGGCAACCATGAAAAAGAACAGGGCACGGATACAGGCTACAGGGTGGGTGAGCCTTAAAGGCACTACACCAAGTGAAATCATAGAGCACAAAAGGCCATACTCTGTCTAATCATTACTATGCAGTGTCCAGAAACAGGTTGGTAGTTACTCAGAGCCATGCGGAGGGTTGGGTGGGGGGGTTGGTGGTAAAGAGTGATTGTTGTTGAACTGGTTTTGTTTGGTTTTGTGGGGAGGCAAGAATGGTCTAGAATAGATAGTGGCAAGATTATACAGCATAGCTAAGAATCACTGACTTAGACACATTACAGCAGTAACTGTATTAGACATCACTCTCTAGAGGAACTGCACTGACAGGATGAGTACATTTTAAAAGATGATGTGTTATGTTGGCTTGCATGACACAGTCTGGGTAGTTCAACTATGCTCATCCAGAGTGATGGAGAATTCAGCAGCTGCTCAGTCAGCGAGGCTGGATGCTGAAGGCCTGGTGGATTCCTGGGGGGCTGCTGGGATTCTGTCTATGTCGGAAGCCTGATGAAGCTGGTCCTTGTGTTGGTAAAGGAATGCTACAGCGATCGGAAGATGGACTTCGCATTGAGAGTGATGCAAGAAGGCAATTTCCTTCATCCCCTCCTTCTATGTGGGCTGCTGCTGAAGGATGGCATCAAGCATCCCACTTCAAACAATCTGATCAAGAAAATCCTTCACGGGAGGGCTCAGAGGGTTGTGTCTCAGTTGATTCCAGACCCAGTTAGGTTGACAATCAAGCCATCACAATAACTTTTATGAGAATTTTATATCAATGTGTAAATTGCTAAGAAAAATAACTCTCAAAGATAAAACGATGCCCCTACCTTTTAGGAATATGGGCATGACTAAAGTAAAGCCCTGTTTTCCTAGCCAAAGCATACCCGCTTAGCTTTCTGTTGTCTTCTGGAATCCCCAATGTCCATGATTCCATTCATAGCAGCAGTCACACCTGCAGCTTTGGTGTGACTCTGCTTGTCCTAGACAGAGCAGCTGGCCAACATGTGTGGCCTGGATAATCAGAATCCTACTGATGAGGGTCAGTGTCCGTGTGTCATCTCTCCTTTTACAGTGACCCAGACTGCTCCAGTGGCATCTTTTGGTCCAATGTACAGTGGCTGCTCACAGTTCTTCTGTATCCCATCTCCTAGGGGCACAGCTGCTGGGCAGTGCACACTACTTTCAAAGGCTCTGGAACCCAGGACACCTTTGTTAGTGGATCCCCTCCATCTGTGATGTATTACTCCTAGCACAGGGCTCATGAGAGGGTGGCTGTGAACCCCACTTTATCTGCACAGGCTCCCATAGTCCAGTGCTCTATCCATACTGCAGGTTATACATCACCTCTTAGAGGTACTGGCCTCTTATGGGCAGGGTCTCAGGTGCCACATGTGGACTGGAAGCAAGCTCTCTTGCATTCTCGGGTAGAGGTCCAGACTGGATCACAGAGTCCAGCACTTCTGGGTAGAAGACTGCAACTGATCTCTATTTGTCTATTGTATTTGGCTCCTTGCCCATCTTTGGCCCATGCTGTTCTCCAAGAGTCCCTCATATTGATGGTCTGACATGCCTCATGTCATGGGCTCCAAGCTGCAGCACACAGAAAAGTATTCTGGACGTTTTACTCTATCTCTGCCTTACTGCATCAAGCCAGGCCCTTTCTCTGAACTGGAGGTCACCGCTACAGCTGGGCTAGCTGGCTAGTCATCTCTCAGGGTCTGCCTGTCTCCATCCCCAAAACTGGAGTTACAGACACATGTAGCCTTGTGGGGTTTAGTTTATGGGTGCTGGAAATTTAAACTCAGGGCCTCACCCTGCAGCAGGAGCTCTCTTACCCAATCTTCCCAGCCCCACCCTAGACATTCCTGTGGAAGATGAGGTGGCAGCCTCTACTTGGAGACAAGCCATGTATCTATTCTCCTATTCAGAGGACAAGGGGTGTTCAGTGTCCCTTCAGCGGCACCCAACAGGGAACTCTGGGAACTCACCTCCCACCTAATGCACTGTGTTCACAAAAGCTAACCCTTCCCACAGTCTCAGTATCCCAAAGATCGCAGGACAATGCTGCCTGCTGTCCTTGTTGCCCGCCCAGGAAACCACCATCAGGCGTTCCCACAGTAACCAGTGTGCTGTCAAGGGAACCTGAGTCTTCAGCACCAAATGCCCACACCTGTCTCCTTGCTGAGTGAAAGCCAGAGACTTGAAAAGTAGCCTGCCTCCCTACGATGCCCTGTGTGTCTCCTACAACCACTCCCCAAAGTACCAAAGCCTAGCCTTGAGCACCAGAGGTTTGCTCTTGGAAGTCAATGTCCCAACTCTGGACCTCCAGTAAGATCCATGTGAGCAATACCTTACTTCCCAGCCCCTCAAACTCCAGAAGAGAGCTCCTCTGCATCCCTCTGCATCCCTCAGCTCCTGTGGCCTCAAGTATCCATGAGTCATGGCTGCATCTTTTATCATCATTATCATCATGCATATTGTAACACACATGAGAACTGCTTGATGGAATCTGTCTTCTTCTTCTAACTCTATGGGGCTTCTGAGGACCAAACTTGGGACACCAGATTGCACAAGTCCTTTACCCACCTGCTCCCATAGCTGCACTTCTCTAGGCTCTACCTTGGCCTCATGAGACACCTCCTCTCTCACCAGGCTTCCCCCAGCCTCTATGCAAGAGCTCTGATGGCATTAAGAGACTATCAATAATAATCAGGCCATCTCCCCCACACAAGGCATTCAACCCAATCGTGTTGTCAGCTCCCTTTGGGCCACATAGGATCAAGGGATCAGGATTCTGTGAGTTTGAAGTCATTTGTCAACCTGTCACATGCATCTGATAGCAGGTCCCCCAAGGCAATCTCAGAGAGGACAAAAACAGTTCAACTTTGGTAGGTCCTTGAGCTCGGCCACTGCCATCCAGCTGAATAGCACTTGCTGAAAGAGGGTCATTGGCTCCCATGGTACCGAGTGACAGACCAGGTCCAGGCCCAGGTCTGGGCTCGGCCCGATTGTGCTCACATTGCATGGACAGCATTAAGACAGGAGAACAGCCCCCACTCCCTAGATCCAAACTTCTAAGAAGGCAGGGTCACATTCCCTGTCCACATTCCAACCAATCCTGGGTGCTCCAGGCTTCATCTCCCAGTGGGCCCCAAATATGAGTACAGCCCTAGGGACCAGCATGTCAGGCCCACAAATGCTGGTTACCCCTGACAAACATGTAAGGAAGTGCTGAACAGTAGTCTAGGCCCCAAGGAATCCTGGGATGAGTCATTCTCTCTTCAGCAAGACAGCCAAGGACCCAGGACTCTGACTAGAGTGGTGGTGACATCCAGCTACCATTTCCCTTCATTGGTGACATCCAGCTGCTGTCTCCCACATACAGCTCAACCATACCTGCTTGAGCACCCAGCCCTCTGCACATGAAGTCATTCAGCAGAAGCCACCATGAGGTTCTGAAGTGCCACCCAACCCTTCAGTTCCCAGGCCTCAAATTTCTCACGACAAAGAGGTAGGTCAACCTCCCACAGCACAAGCACCACAGTAGGCATGTTGAGGATGGTCAATTGAAATCCTTCCAAACAGTAGTGGGACAGCTCTGCATAACCACTAGGATGACAATCATCACACAGCTCCTCAGAGGTTAAACAGCACCCACTGCCAGGCATCTGCCCATGAGAAAGGATAGCACCCACCTACATGACACAGCTATATGATACACAATATGCCTCCAAATGCAATAACCCCCATAAGAGGGGATGAAGCTCAAATACACACCACAGAATGGAGCAGACATCAATCACTTTCTGGCCAGACCTGATTACACCTGTGTCAAGTCCCCAGTCAAATCCATACACACAAAAAGTCCGGGGCTGAGGGACTGAATGTTCAATGGGGCAGAGCTTCCTTCTGGGAAGCCACTGGGAATGGCCACATGACAGAGCAGAAGCCACCAAACTATCCGGCGAAAGCTGTTACAATGGAAATTCATGTTGTGTGTATTTTACCACAATCAACAAACTAAAATTTTATTTCTAGAAAAGGCAGTGGACAGGCACCAGCACCAGCCCTGGAGCCACAGTCTAACTCCTGAATGACAAGACCCTGGGCCCCCAACCTCCTCTTCATGAGACCGAGGCAGTGCCATCTCCACCCTTCCACATCTACTTTAGGACCTCTCTCCTACTCCCGAAAAGACCGTCCCAAGCATGGAGGACCCTCTAGGCTGATGAAGTGCTGGCAGGTATGTGGGACACCCATAGGGGGAGAACATGACTTGAGATGACCCAGAATGCTTTGGGAAAATGAAATATTCAAGATCATCTCTCATGGGCACATCCAACCTTTTGACATTGTGACACAACGCCACTACAAAGAGGAGAGATGAAAGCTACACAGTAGGGGCTGGGGAGTTGGTTCAGAAGATAAAGTACCTGCTGCCCAAGCCTGAAGACCTGAGTTTAGATCCCCAGCACCCATGCAAAGCTGTGCACAGCAGCACACATCCATAGTGCCAGTGAGCATGGTAGCACATATCTGTAACACCAGTGAGCATGGCAGCACACATCTGTAACACCAGTGAGCGTAGCAGCACACATCTGTAACATCAATGAACACAGCAGCACACATCTGTAGCACCAGTGATGGAGGGCAGAGAAAGATAATCTGTACTTCAGGCTTGACAAGAGGCCCTGTCTCAAAATATACACTGGGAAACAATAGAGGAAAGCTCCTAACACTGAACATGTGTGCACATACAGAGGTACACAATACACATATATCACATCACATCAAAAATCTATCAATATTTGGGGCAGGTTTATGGTTTTATATCTGGCAACATCAGCACTGTCCCTGTGACAGGACAGAAAACCAGGCTCTCACTCACCAGAGGTGTCAGCACACTGGGTCCCACAGGAAGGCTCCCTACAGCAGCCACAGTCTGTGCTCTGGATGGTCGAGATGGAGAGAGTGGAGAAGCTTCTAGACCTGTGAAGACAGGGGCAGGGCACCATCAGGTGGGACTGTGAGGGGCACAGGGTCCAACTTTCTACAGATTTGGGGCTTTCTGGGCTTAAACACCAACAGTTAATTTTTTTTTCTTTAGACAAATGAAAAATTGAGCTGGTTCCCTTCCCCAAAGCAGCTGGCCCCAGATGCTGGATGCAAAGCAAACAGGATTCTGGGAGGTGGGCCTGGAGGGGAGAGGTGGTTACATCTGTGAGTGTCCTGGGTTCTTTTGCTCCATCATCCCACACACATTTGTTGTGCAGCTATTTCTTCGGGAAGGCAGGAGGGACCCAAGGTGCCCTGAACACAAGAAATTAAAGCCGGAGAAGTTAAAAGATTAGCGAGAGCTCAGCCAAGGCTATATGAACAGTGACAGGTGCTATGGAGAGGAGACTTTTCAGTGGAGCTGCCTACAAGCAGTTTTCATGAGTCATCAGCCATACTGGGTGTGGGGCTTTCCGGTGATGCAGCTACCTTTAAGTCACCCATGCTCCTGCATATATAACTCCCACCCATGGCTCCTGTGAGAATCCCTTGTGCATCTTCATTTAAGTACCCTCACATACACTCCTGTTACCAAGCTCACTGGTCCACTGAGTTAGGGTGCAGTGATTGCTTTGGTCTGTGATTTAGTTATCGGTGCTCTATCTGAAGTGAGCAGACATTGCTCATGTTGTCTCAGGAACAATCACATAATCATGACAAACCTGCCAGAAACCCCAGTGGGACAGAAGAAATACCATAACAAAAGCCTTCTGTCTTCAGTCAAAGGACTTTTTAGCAACTCTGGCCAGTCCCTACCTGCCCCAGCAGCAAGCCCAAGTGAGAGCTTGGGTCTCTACTCTATGTGGCTGTACCAAGGTCCCCAACTCTGCCAAGCAGGGACATGGGGAGTGGGACATCACCACTGGCATTAAGGATCCTCTCCTCCCCTCCAGTATTGGCTTGGGCATCTTGGGCAGCCTGGGGCTCCAGGCACCAGGCTGCTGCAACATAGCTCTTCCCTGGTCCAGGATCAGAAGATAAGGAGAGGCAGAGCTGCCACCACTGTCCAGGGACAACAAGGCCACTCTACCAATGATATCAGTAGAAGTCATATAGAGGGCCAAAACTCCCATGCCTTCCAGTAGAGACAGAAGCTTCTCTGGGTGGGGATCTGTAGAGGCTGCGGATGGGACCAATTTGTAGGATGAATAATACAAACCCAGAGACATATATTGGGGTTCAAGCTGAAGATCAGAAAAGCAAAGCAGCCAGGCAGTAGCTCTTACCTCTACTAAGGCTGATATGGAGATCCTGTCTTCCCTGTAACTGGAAACTGAATTTCACATGAGACCCTTTATTTCTTCCTTATATGTGTCTCTAGTGCTAGGATTAAAGGTGTGAGCTGTTACACTTCTAGACTGATTCACTCTTGTGTAGCCCAGGATGGTCTTGGAATCACAGAGATCCATCTGCCTCTATCTCCTGAGTCCTAGGTTTAAAGGTGTGTGCCATTTGCATTTGACAAATTCAGAGAAAATACTCTATTATCTACTCTATCTTGGTGAGTTCGAAGTCTTGCGCCTAATTCAACTTTCTATTCTAATTTGTATTATCAAATTATCTTTTAATGTCTCCCCAACTTTTACACTTTACGTCTGGCAGGGCTCATGCCCACCTTCCCTATAGAGGCAGCATTAGAAGGCAAGAGCTAGCTGAGGGTGATGATACACATCTAAAATCCCAGCACCAGAGTTCAAGGCAGGAGGGTCAGAAATTCAAAGCCAGACTTGACTATATAGTGTGTTCTAGGCTAGCCTGGGCTACATTGGATCCTGTCTTAAATAAAAAGGAAGGAGGAAGGCAGAAGAAGAGGAAGAAGAGGGAGTGGGTAAACCCATGAAATTTCATACCAAGTTACATCATTATTAAATGTGTGAAAACTAATGCCAATAGAAAAGTCTAGAAAACAAATTGGGGAAAACAATGCCTTAAATATAAGGCATGGGCCATGAAAAAAGGGCTGGACTTCTCATCAAGAACCATGGAGTCAGAAGGCAGCACAGAACTTAGCAAGTGAAGACAGAGGGGACTGACAAATGCTCTGTGTGGGCGAAGAGCAACACAGAGCACTCATGGGATCTGGAGAGATGGCTCAGAGGTTAAGAGCACTGGCTGCTCTTCCAGAGGTCTTGAGTTCAATTCCCAGCAACCACATGGTGGCTCACAACCATCTATAAGGAGATTTGATGGTCTCTTCTGGCATGCAGACACATGTAGGCAGAATACTATATTCATAATAAATAATCTTAAAAAAAAAAAAAACAGAGCACTCATACGGATCTATCAGCAGCAGACTTGTTGTCAGGCTGGCCAAATTGGGGCCAGCAAGATGACCCAGCCAGGTATAGGCCTGATGGCCTGACTTAATCTCTGGAACCCACCTGTCTTAATCGGCTTTGATTGTGAACTTGACACAGCCTTGAGTCACCTGAGAAAGGAATATCAGCTGAGGGATTGCCCAGGTCAGACTGACTGTGCACATGTCTGTGGGAGACTGTCTTGATTGTTAACTGATATAGTAAGGTCCAACCCACTAAGCATGAGCCTGGGAGTTGTATTCCTCCATGGTTTCTGCTTCAAGTCCCTGCTCTGACTCACTTTATCTAAAGACTGAGACCTGAACATGTAACCCAAATTTGCTTTCCTCTACAAGTTGTATTTGGTCAAAGTGTTTTGTCACAGCAACAGAAAAGAAGCTAGAACACCATATCAAGCTGCAACCAACTCCACGAGGCTGTCCTCTGACCTCCAGGTATGCTCTATGATACATGTGGCACACTCACATACACATATCATACATATACATGCATGTGCATGCAATAGTAATACATGAAATATTTTTAAAAGATGGCTAAAGTAACCTCTTCAAACAAAGAAATGATTAAAGAAGAAGGACTATGAAGCAGGAAGGGAAAAATGCATATGATGAGCAAAAATATGCAATTTTCTAAATTTGTTTGACAATTACATTTTTTTTAAACTATAGCATATCTGATATGACTCTAAATGCATGTAGAGAAGATACTTGGCAATTATAACTGGGGAGGGCAAAGGGTCATAAAAGGACATAGTCCCATAGTAAGTGGTGATAAGGTTAGTGTATACAGTGCCTAGAGCAAACACTCGGTTGTGCAACAGACCCACTCAAAAACACTTCCTAAAGCAGGTAAGCAAAAATGAGACTCTGTAAATATTCACATAACCCACAAAAAGAAAGGAAAAGAGAACAGGAAACCCCAAAGAAGTAACAGGCCCTTACATGCAATAATTCCATTTAAATGTAAATGGTCAAAATTATGCTAATTAAAAAACGGTGGTTTGTTAAAAGACATAATTATATAAAGGCTACAAAAATTCACTTCCAATACAATTCCATTGGCAGGTAGAAAACAGAATGATGGGAAAACACTTTTTGCAACATAAATTCAAGACAATCAAGACAATAGTAGATCGGGCATACTTTATGAGAAAAAACAACAACAGAAAAGAATATCATATAATGATTAAAATGGTAATTGACAAAGCAGCAATTCTGATATATATACACAAAGAAGAGCAGTTAAGAGCGTGAAAAAAACTGGCAGGCTAATAGGAAAGAGGCAATTCCACACTTCATCCCACCCAGAACAACATGACACATCCTTTTCTATTGCTTATGGGAATCCACAGTTCTCAATGTATACATTACAAATGAATAGGAATCTCAAGCTCTTCATTCCTACATCAAGAAACTTGAAAGAAGACAGCAAATTTTACAAACACATAGGCAACTCTGATGGAACTGGAGGCCATAATATGGAGGAAATAAGCCAGGTACAGAAAGACAAATTCCACGTAGTCTTATTTATGGAAGTTAAGAAGTTGATTAGATTACAGAGGACCACAGAGTAGAATGGGGGTGTCAAGAGTCAAAGACATGGAGGAGGAGGGAGTAATGAGAAGATGGATAACAGACATCAGAGCACAGCATAGGAGAGAAGCAATTCTAAAGGTATAGAGCAAAATAGAACAATTACATCCTGCAGTTAATTATATGTTCCAGAATAACTAAAGAAGGTGTTGAAGGTTCCCAAAATATGGAAACAATAACATGAAAAGGTGGAAATGTTAATCACCCTGTACACTGTGCACACATCAGTTCTAATGTTATACCCCCCCACACAGAAAAAAGTTGAGGCATCAGCACAGACCACACAGACAACACACCCCAGGGACAAAATATAGGAAGTATCACCACAGACCATAGACAAACCACCCCAGGGATGATCCAGGAGGCATTAACACAGAACACACAGGCAGAGGCTATGGCACAACACTACAATCAACTTCATACATATATATTCCATAGGAAGAATGAAATAAGCCAATTCATCAAGAAATTAAATTACAGTGTGCCCAATGTGAATGGATAATTTGGATAATTCCCTATACCTATTAGGAAATTTAATTCCTAGTTTTAAAACTCACAGTTTAGTAGGAACAAAAAAAGGAGACCTCCAAATATACCTGATCTCACTGAGGAACTGCATTAAATATTTAAAGGCGAATATAAGTGAGAATGGGTAAGGGAGGATGAATAAGACCAAAATACATTAAATACTATGTAAAATTGTCAAACTGTTTATAAATATTGGTAAAAGAAGAATTAATAATTACAACTATATACAATGTCTCCTAGAAAACAGAAGAAGAGAGAATATGTCCCAACTCACTGTCTGGAACCCTTCAGTAAGAACACCTGTATCAACAACAGAAAAATAAGTAAATAAAGTTTATGAAAAACCTTGGTTATCAACAACACAGACACAACAACAATAACAAAGACAAGCATGAATTTCCTGGTGGGAACTCCTTGAAAATATTCACAAATGGAGCCGGAGCTACAGCTCAGTTGGTAGAGCTCTTATCTAGTATACACAAGCTCTCAGTTCCAT